CCCCCCCCGCCAGGGCACAGGCCTAAATGGTCTGTTTACAGTGATCTGAGAAACACCAGATTCTTCAGACCCAGACCCGATCAGTCAACCCCGAGTGGGCGTGGGCGCTCCCTGTGGCCCCCGCCCTGGGAAGGGGGATGGGCTGAGCCCATCCATCCAGGCCCCTTTGCCTGCTGCTTTCAACTACTATAAAGACACAATTACCTTGGGAAGCAGTGGCAGTTCAGTTGATTAGCACGGTGAATTAAAAGGATGAGTCACAAATGACATGTCCGGCTCCTCCATACTAGTCCTTTGTAATCCCAGAGAGCCTCACCCCTGTTGTAAGGAGGTCAGAAATTAGAGAGAGAGAACACTTTTCAAGCGGCTAGCACTTAGGAGCAGAATTAACAATCACTCTGTATGTAATTGCCAGTTAATAGTAAATTGCCTTCTAGACTGTAAAATGCAATATAAACGCCGGGCACCTAAAATTAAATTAATGAGATATTTGCTGCATTTAAAAGTGAATAGTGTAAATTAATACCTGAGTGCAACGCTTGTTTTAATATTTGTCTAATAGTGTATCATTTGCTTGTTTAATAATAATTAACGTGGTCCTGGAATAGCCTACCTGAGAAACTCAGTGGTAACTGGGCGGACTGAACCTTTTCACGTCCATCATTTCACCAGTAGAAACACATCCAATTGTTAAGAGCAATAAAATTATTTTTTAATTAGAGTAGAAGCATTGCAGTGTTATTTGATTAAGACAAATTAGAATTTGTCTGCTTCTAATTGAAACTATGTTATAGTAAAAGCTACTTTCACGGACGTGGTTCCAGGTGTGAGGCGCTCTTGCACAAGTGTGCATATGGCTCGAAGTGTCCCTTTGGCGGGATGGGCGCCTGTCACACAAAAGTAGTGAAGCTCATTGGTGGTGGCGTCGCTTTAAGCGCGGTTCCCCAGGACACCAGGGTTGCTCGCGGGGGTCCTGCTGTTGACCTCTTGCACCCAAATGTTTGGTTGACCCGCCCTCATTTTAGAGATTTCTTTTGCTCAATTAAAGAAATTATCGCAAATTACCAGGAGTCAACATGTCGTCTGCCACAGGGCCAAGCCCAGTCGCTAAGGAAGACCTTGGCAGCCAATGGTAAACATGTCCAGCGCGGGCACAGACAGGGCTTGTCTGCTGGGTGCGTGGCCCAGTCTCAGGTCTGCAATTTATTTCCTAGACAGGGACATAAAAACGATTATTTTCTGCACAAAGACATGCATTCAATTTCAAGCTTATGAAATCATTACTCAACCAGTAATTGCCTACAGTTTGTGTTCTTTCTGATACAGTATTTACATTTTCTGCTTTTTTTTTAAAATAAAAAAAAAGTCAGATTGTGCCTTAAATGGGTGACACGTCGAGGCGGAGACCGCCTGTCCTCAGGAGCGGCCCTGGCAGCCGAGGGTGACAGTCTCCTTGCCCGTGGCCCACACCGTGGCCTCCGGCGGCCTTCCGCCGTTTAACCCCCACTTCACTTCACCCCTTGAAAGGTGCTCGTGGGCCTGAAGTGCCTTAAAGATCTCTGTGCGCATTGAGATGGGAATCTGTCAGCGGCGCCGGGAGGCACCGTGGAGTCAACAGCGCCCTCGACCACGGCGGCACAGCGAGCTGTCTCCCAGGCCAGCGCTCTTCAAACAAATTACTTGTATCCACACAGCCAAGGTGCCTAATTGCCTCCCGCAGACGGGCCTGTTTTT